ATTACCTGTTGTTGTTTAGTGCTGTTGAGTCGGTTCTGACTCAGCAACCCCAAATAGGGTTTCTGAGGAACGGATGGTGAGTTTGAATCGCTGACATCTTGCTGTTCAACCGACCTTGAGGTCAAGTACTTATCCTAGCCCCTTAACATCTCATTACCACCAGTGAACTCAGACCCATAGTGACCCTCTAGGACAGAAGAGAACTGCCCCTTAGGGTTTCCAAGGCTGTAATCTTTATGAGTCCTGGTGTGGTGCTGTGGGATAAAGCACTGGACCGCAAGGCTCTTGATTCAACTTTACCAGCCGCTTCTCGGAAACCCTACATAGGGGTGCTATGAGTCGGAACCAACTTGAAGGCACTTAATCTTTATGGAAGCAGACTGCCACATCTTACTCCCACAGAGTGGTGGGTGGGTTCAAACTGCTGACATTATTGGCTAGCAGCCAAGTGCTTAAACACTGTGCCACCAGGGTCCCTCTCTAGCCCCCTTCATACTTCTAGTTCAGTTTTCTCACACAGCTGTATTATTGACAGGCAGGATACAACTTTAACATTATAAAGAAATGTGTGCTAATATTAAATAAGGACTCCTGTTGTAAACGCTGGAGATAAGCACTAGACCTCAAGATCGGCTTGAATCGACAGGTCAGTGGTTCAAACCCACCAGCCACTCCTCTGAAACCCTTGTACAAGGTTGCTATGAGTCGGATCCAACCCAATGGCACTTAACAACATTAAATAAAGCGTATTTAAAAAATACATTAATAAACAAAAACAACTACTTAGTATCAGTGAACCACTCTTCATACTTTTTTTTTTTTTTTAAAGTAAAGCTGGTGCAAAGAGCTATGTAAGTTTTTCTTTGGAAACCCTGAAAGAAGGAGATTAAAAAAGTCTACATCCATGTGCAAAAACAGTCACCAAATCCTGAAAACATATTGCACATCATCAGCCTTGTAATTGTTCTGACCCCAGAGAAGTTGGCAGCTCACTCAGTCTGCACACACTAACTCTTGATTATAAGATGTGGGTTAATGCATCAGACTGCAAGGTCGGTGGTTCAAGCTTGTCAGCCACTCCTTAGAAACACTACACAGGGTCACTATGGGTCAGAATCGACTCGATGGCACTTAACAACTGACCTAAGTAAATATCTAAAACTCTTCCGTGATACTTCCTCAGTCAAAGTCACTGAGGGTTAACAAGACTGTGGGTCAGTCTCCTGGAGGTGGAGGTGGGGGGAGGGCTGAGGTTTGGGGGAGCAGGTGAAGCCAATAGAAGATAACCCCTGTTTACTGAGACATTTATACCAATCAGAGATGATGAGCATCAGGGTCAAGAACTGAGATGCTCTCATAGATTGAATTGGTGTGTTGGAATCCCAGCCCCCATACCTGTAGATGTAATCCCATCTGGAAACAGGATTTTCTTTGCTATACTAATGAGACTCGATTGATGCAGGAGTCCTGGTTGTGGCACTGTGGGTTAATGTGCTAGACTACAAAGCCGTTTGAACTGCAAGGTAGGTAGTTCAGGCTCACCAGCTGCTCCTTGGAAACTCTATACAGGGTTGCTATGGGTCAGAACCAACTCGACGGCACTCAACAACAACAATCAATATAGATGGAGTCCTGGTTTTTTGTGGTGCTGTAAGATAACCACTAAATCATTAGGGTCAGTTTGAACTGTAAGGTCGGCGGTTCAAACTCATGTGCTGCTCCTTGGACAACTATCAGTGTAGATCTGTACTATGTAGGTATGATGTAATTGGTGGTAGTTGTGTGCCGTGGAGTCAGTTTCGACTCATAGTGACCCTGGATAACGTAATGTCGTGTAGTGGTTATCATGTTTGCCTCATGTACGAAAAATGCCCAATTTGAAACCAGGCAGTTAAATGTATCTTTTAGAGTCCTGGTGTGGTGCTCTTGGATAAGCACTGGCCTGATACTCACAAGGTTGACAGTTCAAATCTACCATGTGCTCCTTGGAAACCCTACGCAGAGTCACTATGAGTCAGAACTTGACTCGACGGCACTAAACAACATCAATGTAGAATATTAAACCACTTTTGATTATGAGGGGGCTTCATGAAACGCATCAAAGTGGAATATAAAGATCTTGGAATTTTCCCACAAACTTTTTGAAGGCCCCTCATATAAAAGGGTATTAGGAAGAAAAGCAGAAATGGGGATGGGTAGAAGCCACTTGGAAGTCTCCAAGGAACACCAAGAAAGCGTTTCCCCTCCAGTGTTAGCATAGAGAACCTTTCCCCAGAGCCAGCGCCCTGGATGCAGACTTCTACATTCCTAAACTGAGAGAAAATCCATTTCTGTTCACCAAAGCCATCCACTTGTGGTATTTGTTACAGCAGCTCTAGGGCACTAAGCCTTGCAGAGACATAAATACACAGTTGAAGTATATGAACATCTTACACATTAAGTTTAAATGTTCACACTTTAAGAAACTCCAACATGCCTCCAAGAAATCACAACTGAATAAATTCAAGGCATAAAATTTAAAGTTAATATTTCAGTTTAAGGAGTAATAAAAGTTGGCTTAAAAAGTTCTTGGGAAAATTCCACTGTCTTTCATTTTATCTTTCCATCATCTTTTTGAAGCCCAGTCATATAGGAAAATCTGAGCTGGCTGGCAACCTCGTGGAACTAAGCAATCAGGTTTTCTAAAGAGTTGTGGTCCTCTTCCCCATGTATAAACCCCAAACCTAAAGATTTTGAGAATCAGCATTCTTATAATATACATCCCTGCATTATTAAAATATACTGAAAAATCATTCACCTGCTGCCCGCCCCCAATAAAGGAAAAGAACACTGGGCCTAGAGATCCACAGACCTCAAAAGGATAACAGACCCAGGGTGGCGTACACAGTTCAGTTCTTGATTACTAACCAAAAGCTCGGTGACTCAAACCTACCCCAGCGATGCCTTGGAAGAAAGCCCTGAGAATCTGCTTCTAGACCTTGAAAACCCTATGGAAGCAGGGTTGTACTCTGCGTACAAGGTGTCTGCCAGGAATTGGAATTCAGATGACAACAAACGGTTATTTATACACACAGGTCTTTTCACATGTGCCCTTAAAAGTAAGCTTCTCTGGAAATTTTTAACATTTAATTTTTAAAAGCACCAGTGTCATGAAAGATTTGTGGTCTTTCATCTGAGGGTCCCCGAGAAAATGGTAAGCTCCCCTCTGCCTCTAACTCAGAATAGTCTGGAAAACTCATCCATCCTCAAGGAATGCTCATGAAGACTCCTCCTGTTGCTTCATCCAGTCTCTTGGATGAAGAACGTTACTGACAATCAAGCTGAGATTAGAATGAGACTGTGATGGAACAATCCGAACACCATTCTCCCCATACCTCCTAAAGGGACATCTTGGAGCTGAGTCTTATCCTTCCTCCACTCAGAGACAACATCCAAGAGAGCATTAAAATGAAAATCCATGCGCTTGTCAATAGTGGGATCAGTTATTCTTCCACCTTCCTGAATTAAGTCACATCTCTCTCCAAATTTATGCATGCTGATGCCAAGCTTCAAAAATAATGAGAATAAAAAGGTGAAGATTTTCCCTGAAAAAAATATTGACAGGTTCTAAGCTGAAATTAGATGAGAGCTCTCATGGAGAAAAGTGTTTAGTAGCTCTCAAAAAGAAAGCTGAATTCGCTTCAAGGGGAATCAGCACAGAGTCTACTTTATATTACGAAAAAGTAAGGGTGACAGCCATATTCTCTGAAAGAGATTCTCGGACAATGTTTATTAAGCCTTCAGACAACTGTGAACTGCCTTCTCCTTGCTTTGAAATGCTGTCTGCTGTCTCCTCCATGAATGAACACACAGACACTCACAGCAGAAGTTGAAATGGAATTTACTATCCGTTTAAGTAGTTAAAAAAAAAACCCTACCAGGTCTGCAAAGAAACTGTAGGGCTGGCAGATAAAGCACAGGATACCAGTTCCACGTGAACTTCTGATAACAGCAGATGAACTTTTTAATACAGGCAGTCCTCAGTTACGAACGAGATTCCTTTCTGATTTTGCTTTATAAGAATTTGTACTAAGTTGGATCAGTTATTATTTGGCCTTACTTTTGTGCAAGAAAAGCTTCCAAGCCTTTTCAATGATTGAAAAACTGCATATTAAGTGAGAGAAGGTGACTGGGATCAAGACTTTGGTTTAAACATTTCAAAGAGAAGGCAATTTACTAACATTAAAGGGTAAGCCCTGGTTTGGTGCCGTAGGATAAACACTGGACTGCTAACTGCAAAGTCGTTCCTCAGAAACTCTATACAGGGTTGCTATGAGTCCAGAAGTCACAGCGCTTCGATGGCACTTAACAACAACAATAACAATGGGCAAATAGGAGCTATCCATAAATTGGATGTTCACAACCCAGGCACTGCCTGTATATGTATATCCCAAAAACTCCATGCAAAATGTTCCATGTAATATTTGGGACATAGTCTACTGAAAAAAATAAAACACCTTGTTGCTTTTATCAGAAGTTTAAATTTAACTGGGCATTCTGTATTTTCATTTGCGCAATCTGGAAACCCTAAAACTGTGAGCTAAGTAAGAGTGCTGCAAAAATAACATGCAAATAAAACTAACGACCTTAGGAAAATAAAGAACTCTTTTAATTTCTCTAGTTCTACCTCCTCAGAAAAGTAGAACCTTAATTGTTCTTATTTAATTTGTAGAGGGGGTGAGGGGGACAAAAAATCATTTTGGTGTAGCTCTACATTATCAGCATATTAATATTACACATAAGAAAATTAAGACCATCTAGTTTTTTTAATCTGAAAAACCTCCTCAGGAAAGTTGAACCATAACTGTTCTTACTTAATGTGTAGGGGGGGTGAGGGGGGCAAGAAATCATCATGGTGTAGCTCTACATTATCAGCATATTAATATTACATATAAGAAAATTGAGATCATCTAATTTTTTTTTTTTTTTAAATCAGAAAAACAAGTCTTAAAGGAACCCACTTGCTCACACATTAGTGCTATTGGGTTGTTAACGCAGCCATTGACGATCTGAGCTCCTCTTCCAACTGCTATGCCTTTAAAAGATTTGTCATCCCATACTCGGCCACCAATTCTGTCTTTGGCTTCTAAGACAGTCACCTAAAAGACAGGAAATCGACTAAGTAAGTTCAAACAGTCCTATTAAGTGCAATACAGGCAGTCCCCAATTTATGGCAGGGGACTTTTCAAAAAAATTTAAGCTTTCGTTATTATTGCTTTTAATCTTCTGCATCTTTATAAATCCTATCTCTGAACATCTGCAAGTGATAACATCAGCAAATTATGTGAGCTGAGCTCCAGTGTGTCACTGCAGGATGAGCACTGAACTGCTAACTGCAACATCGGTGGTTCAAACCCACCAGCTTCTCTCGGACACTCCACAGAGAGTTATTATGAGTCGGAACAGAACAGAATCAATGACACTTAACAACAACATGTGCGGTTTGTCATAACTCCAACACATAATCTGGGGACTACCTGCACAATAAAAATACAGAAAAACATTGTTAAATACGTTCCACAGGTCATTAACTTATTACGTTACTAGTGAAAAGACTTCACAGGAGGCTGGTGAGAATAGAAAGCAAACCAGACAGATGTTGAAAATAATCCAGATTCCAGTCACAGTGGTGAGCAGGAGACACTCCTTTTAAACTGTTTCCTCTCAAATCAGATGAAAAAATTCCATGAACTATAGTATACGAAACCTAAGTTGAAAGCTTTTACTAAGTACTATAAGAAACTGGCTAAACAAGTGCTTTCTTTCCCCTATGAAATATCTACTACACATGTAGCAAAACTCTTTTAAGTTTTGCAAACAGAGCTAAACTTCTTAAGCGGAGATTTTTTCTTTAAAAAAAAAAAACAACAACCAAACACAAAACCCCCTTTATGGATGATTCCCCATCGGACTACTAGCTCTCTTCGAAATTCATCACTTGGCAGAGGGAGGTAAGGAGAGGCTCTCACAGACTGATGGAATTCTCACCCATAGCCCAGTTATTCAAAGTGCTATACCTCCTTGGTTGTATTCGTGGACAATATAAATCCTCCTCACTGCAAGGAGCCCCTAAGTGTGCAAACATAAGTGCTCAATACTAATGCAAAAATTGATGGTTCAAGTCCCCAGAGGTGCTTCGGGAAAAGGCCTGAAAGATACAGCCTTGAAAACCCTGTGGATCATTCTACTCTGCATACACGGTCCTCAGGAGGCAGAGTCCACTGGTCAGAAATTGATTTTTCTATTACAGTGCAAGGCCAGTCACGTGGTTCCTGGACTTCAACTTGCTAGGGAAGAGGATCCCAAGTTAATTATTTCTCAGGTAACTCAGAAAAATATGTCTCTCTAACTAGGAGGGAGAGGGTGGTCAGTGGGTGTCTCCCGCGTCACTGGAACAGAGTACAGGAAAGTAATTCGGGTCCTCTGAATGTTGGTCCTCAGATCTAAATGACTTATTGTCTCCAACTAGGAAGGCTAAATACACAGTTCTGCTCTCCCCGTCCAATTTCTCAGACTTCAGCGGAACCAGAAACATCCCTAGATGGCACGAAAAGTTAAGCACTCAGCTGCCAACTGAAAGATTGGTCATTCTAATCTACTCAGATGCACCCTTTATGGGAACAGACAGCCTCACCGTTTTCCTGATGAGTAGCTAATGGATTTGAAACGCCAACCTTGTGGTTAACAGCCCAGTGCTAACCCAAAGTGAAACCTGGAAAGTTGTTCCTCTCTATTAGCATAGCTCATCTTTCAAGCTTCTGTTGTCAATATGATTCGACATAGTTTTTAGAAAACGTAAAATACTCAAGGCAGACATTTCTTCCTTTCCTATTAAGCTAAACTATTGTTTGGTGTTAAGATGATTTCTGGGGATATTTTTTATTGAGGGTTTAAAGATTCTCTCAAGGTAACAGCTTCAGGGGTTCATCCAACCTCTGTGACTCTAGAAAGTCTGGAGTCTATAAGAATCTGTTCTGCAATTTCCCTTTTGATCTTTGATCCTTAATCAATGCAATTATTCCATCATCATAAACCTAAACTCAGTACACCATAGTAATTTAACTGACAACCAAAGTTTTTAAAAAGGAGAAGTATGTTAGACCTACCAAATCACAGAAATTTTGGATGTTTAAGTAAATTTACTGAAACAGATACATTAAGCTACACAACTGGGGAGGGGGTCACAGCCTATATTTGGGCAAATTTTCAACAACTGAAATCAAACATACTAAAAAGAGAAAAAAGGACAAGTGGGCTACTGTAATGATGTACAGTATTTTAAAAGCCATGCAATTCTGTCTTAATCAATGAATTAGATCATTCAGTCTTGCTTTCCAAAAGCAATAGTTTTTATTTTCTAGAGCAAAACTGAAAGTACATCTTTGATTTACATAAGAAAATGTAAACGAGTATTTGAAAAAAATTGTGTAGGAGACACGGTGACGCTTCAATGCTGTGATTTACAGTCTCTAATTATTACAAAAACAAGGGCTATTTACAGTTTCTCCTTGTGTCAATGTCCCTGGGTGGTGCAGTGACAAGCCCAGCTGTTTAGCTAAAGGTGGGTGGTTCTACTTGTGGGTACCTCAGAATAAAGACCTGGTGATTTCTTTCTGGAAACTCAGCCATTGAAAACCCAGTGGAGCACAGTTTTTCTCTGGTACCCCTGGGGTCGACACCAATATGAGCAGACTCAACAGCAAGTTTTCTATTTGTTTCTTGTGTCAGTAGCAATCTCTGAAGAATATTTGTTCTAACACCCAGTTAGAATCAGTCCTGACCAACTCTTAAGAGTCTAGAACTCTCTCCAAAGCTGTAAAAATTTCTGTCTTCTGCTACATTTCTTCCGCTGTATCAATCCCACATTTTTTATCTTCTTATGATCGATTCTAAGATGGCATGTATTTAGCATTCTTTGCTTAAAAAAAAGTGTTTCCCAAGTCTTAGAAAACACCAACCAAAGGAGCAGTTAACCCTCAACATCTTCCCATGTGTGATCTTACCTTACCAAACTCTTACCTTAATTCCAAAGTTGTGCAGTTGCCTCGCAGCTGCTAAACCTGATGGACCAGCTCCAACAATGACGACGGATTTCTTTTTTTAAAAAGGAACAAAAATCCCAATTAGAGTAATGACTAACAATGTACTGTTTTTACTTGTTCTGTTGTGGCTGCTTCTAAGTGTCAAGTCAGTTTCGACTCACAGCGACCCTGTATAGAGATTCCTAGGAGCAGCTGGTGGGTATGAACCACCGACTTTGCAGTTAGCAGTGGAGTGCTGATCCTACAGTGCTGCCATGCAGTGAGTCCACCTACATTTCTATGATGTCTTAAAGCCCACTGCTGTTGAGCTGAATCCAACTCATCAATCATTAATTCTAGTAACAGCACGCTAGTATAATCCAAAGGAAATCCAAGGGACTCACACACTTTATGTTGAACTACTAACCTAAAGCTTGGTTGTCTGAATCCATCCGGTAGCCAAGAAGGACCTGGCAATCCACTTCTATAAAGATTCCCATTGCTTCATAGCAACTAAACAGGGCAGAGAAGAGAACTGCTCCCATGGGGTTTCCAAGGCCGGGACCTTGTATGGGAAGCAGACATCTTTCTCCTGTGGAGCAGCTGGAGGGCTTAAACTGCTGACCCTTAGGTCTAAGTGCTAAACCACCATGCCACCTGGGCTCCTCTGGTATCATTTCCTTATGAAGATACAGTTAGTTATCTCAAGTGACCCCTTCCTCTTTATCTACAGCCAGAGGAAATGCTTGATACTATCCTCTGAAGAGAAGCACATATTCTATAGAAGTGTTACTTCTAGAACTTTTTATGCCACTGATGTAACTTGTACTAATAGTAACAGAGTAGCACTTTGCAGTGTTGCTAACGCTGCAGTTACTTACATTGTGGTAATCTTTAGGAAGAAGATACTGGTCAGCGCTGACGTTCAAAACTCCTGTGTTGATCAGACCTTTTCTTGTCATAAAATAAAGTATCCTCTCCACTTCCTGAACACACCGAATGCGCACAAGGCCCCGGACAATGATGTGAGGAATACACTTCTGAGGAGTAAGAGCTTCCTGTGTTTGGAGAGGAAAGCAAGCTGTTATTTAAAAAAAAAAGAAAAGAAAAAAAAATAAAACTTGGTTCCTCTCTGTTATTTTACCACACACAGACAAAAACTGACTTGCAAGACAATTCATTTATCAGTCATAAAAACAAACAGGTTAGGTTTACCTGGTGGGGAAAAAAAAGAGAGAGAAGAAAGGGATCCCATAGAGTGTACAGCACAGTTTGTATTTTAGAACACGTGCTTCCCCTCACGCAGTAATGGCTGCTAAAAGGAGTGTGGGTAGGGTAGATAACATCACATTACTGACTCAATAAACCATCCAACCAAAGTCTTAACAGAAATGCAGGCTGTTGCCTGTACTGGCATCTCTGGGTGGTGCAAACAGTTAAATGCTCAGCTAATAACTGAAAGCTGGTGGCACCTCAGAAGACAAGACCTGGCAATCTACTTCTAAAAAAAACCACCAGTGAAAACCCTATGGAGCATGCAGTTGCCATGACAACTGGCTTTTTTGGTTTGTTTTTTTAATGGTGCCCGTATCAGCAGCATGCGTGGCGATTGCCGTGGTGGGTAAGAGATGAGTGAACTGATTTAAGAACCTGTAAGGATTTGGCAAGGTCTGGTTCAATTTAAGACCCCTGAGTAAGGAAGCCCCTGCCTCCAGCGAGGGCCAGGAAGAATGCAAAAGATAACAAGCTCTGAAGTGGCTTCCGAGTAGGTCTCTCCCCCACTTCCTATCTCCAACCCCAACACGATCGGATCAAATATGACCATGATCAAACACAGGAAGACGACTCTCACTTACATACAACCTTGGCCCGGGATTGCTGCTGAAAGTCAATGTGTCTGTGTTTTACAAAATCATGTCCTGGTCTTGGATTCTTTTAAAACAAACATATTCGTGCTTTTCTGCAATAGTGTCAGATACGTCTAAGTAAATACTACCTTACTGAAAATTAAAATAGGTCCATGCTGACAATGAGAAGTTCAAGAAATTTTTTTCTTGTCTTGTGAAATTCTTCCCCTTCATAAGTCAGATTTCAAAGTCAAATACAAAGAGGTAAGAAAAACGAATCCAAGGCTGCTTCAGAAAGGGACGGCTTTATAACTTAAAGGAAATTCTGGCTACAATTTTATTCAGTTCAGTATAACTTTTTGTTGAACACCTACCTCAAGCCTGCTGGGCAAGAAGTGAGTAATTCTACCTTACCCAGCCTACTCACCTGGGTATAACTGTTAAAAACAAAACAACAAAAAAAACATGACTAGCCGTAATTCAGATGAGGTCACCTCATCTCATACTTGAGTCTAATCCAGTGAAATACCAGTGAAACTGGAATATTAGTCCTTTCATCTAGACTACCTTGGCAGTCACGCAATCAACAGTCACTCAAATAACTGCTAAAGAAATGAATAATTATGAAAAACATAGAGTCAAGAGAGCCAAAATCATAAAAACAAGAAATAAAATTAAAACTGGTACATTCGTCCCACTGGTAGCGTAATGGTTATGAGTCAGGCTGCCAACATCTTACCATGTCATGGCATCTTACTATTGTTTTTTTACTGTGGTCTAATTATATACTAAGGAACTCTGGTAGCGTAGTGGGTACGAATCAGGCTGCTAACCTCAGTGTCAGTTCAAAACTACCAGCGGTTCTGTGGCAGAAGTATCAGACTTTCTGTGCCATAAAGATTTACAGCCTCGGAAACCCTGTGCAGGATCACTATGAGTCGGAACTGACTCCACGGTACTTAACAACAACCACCACCACCAGTTTATGCTCATATCTATGAGGGTGGTGTTACGCAATGCTTCAAACATTATTTCAGTCCCAACACAAAGAAAAGCATGCGTCTTGGTTACTTCAAGATACCAAGATGAATAAGACACTATCCTTGCCCTCAATGAGCTTATAATCCAATATTAAAAAAACAATAAATAAACAAGATTTCCACACTGGCATTGCCATTGCAGTTCTATGGACCAAACTGCACTGTATACTCACTTACAGTATCAGTTGTTCAGATGATGTATCTTTAATGTGGTTCTCAGCAATTGTGCTCCCATCTGACAATGTCTGGTTGCCACATATGGGGAGATGGAGGCTACCGGTAGGTAGAGGGTAGAGCAAAGGATGCTACTACACAGAGAATGGTCCAGACACAAATGTCAGTAAGACTGATGTGAAGGAGCCCTTCTCTAGAAGTTCTGTCCACAGGGAAGGTAGCTCCTCTCCTTCAACATGAATCCTGTCTGAACCTTGAGAACATTATGCTGGGTGAAATAAACCAGACACAAGCAGACACACCTTGCGTGATCCCACTTATATAAAACATTGAGAGAAGCAGATGTAGAGAGACAGGAAGCTGTTTAATGATTTTGCTGGAGGAGAGAATGGGGCGCTATTGGTTAATGGATACTAAGTTTCTTTGCTATGAGGAAAAAGTTGGGGAAACAAATAGTGGTGATGTTTGTGCAACATCATGGTTGTGATTCAATGCCAGTGGATCTCACATTTGAAAATGGTTACAACAGCGAATTTTATGTTGTGTTTATTTTAGCACCTGTCAGGGTTGCTATGAGTTGGAACCGACAACTCGATGGGACACAACCACCACCGCCTATCACCCATCTGTCAGTTTGTGGTACTGTGGTGGCTTGCAAGTTGCTATGAGGCTGGAAGCTACACCACTGGTCTTTCTAATACTAACAGAGGCAACCAAGTGGACAGGTTTCAGCAAAGAAGGAAGAAAGGGTGATTTATACCCAAAAAGAAACTAGCCAATAAAAACCCTATGGATTGCAAGTGACTACTGTCTGGTACAGTCCTGGGCGATGAGAGTTGAGCCCCCTCAGTTGAAAGGCATGTGAAATACAGTAGTCACTGCAGTGGACGAAAGTGGACCAGCGATTATGAAGACAGAGCGTGCCGGACCAAGGTTTCATTCTGTGTAGCAAGTTGCAGTGCTTCAGAGACAACTAATATTTACCACAAGTCAGTTAGCTGGCAAGTGACAATGAAAACTACAAAAAATAAATACATATTCTGTCCGGTTAGCTAGCATGCCCCTCACTTACTTTGCAGTGAGTGTACCACAGTGCGAGGATGAGGTTTCTGAGAGCCAGGTACATGGTGGGGTCACGGGAATACTCTGGGAATTCATAGAGCTCATCCAGCTCCATGACGTCTGGCCGCACGCACAGGGCTTTGCCACACTCGTTGGGCTGGTAGAAAGGCTGGAAGTACCGGTTCATGCCTGGTACCAACAGAAGACACAATCAGGTAACTCTGACCAGACCTAGCTTCCCAATCCAGGTGCACTAAAAAGCAAAGCCAGACTCAAAAGGATAGCTGAGACAAATTCAGCAGTGTCTCACAGGAAGATATCTATCTTCCTCTTTTTAGTAAGAGGAGCCCTGGTAAGCATATTGAGCAGCTAACTGCTAGGTCAGCAGTTAAGAGTCCACCAGCTGTTTTGCGGGAGAAAAATAAGGCTTTCTGCCCATCAAGATTTTCAGCCCTGGAAATCCTATACAGGGTCACTTTAAGTTAGAACTGACTCCATGGCATAAAACCACCACCTCTTCAGCAAGACAAAATGTAAATGAATAAAACAATTATTTCCCTTATTGTTTCTTTATACTTTTTAATCTTCATAAATACATGAAAAAATATTTTAAGTATATTTAATTGGCATTTAAAAAACTGTAAAATTAATAGGTTCACAGAAGTAAATAAAAATAAAAAAACAATGATTATCCCAGAATGGTAGGGCTACATTTAGAGGTATAATCTCTTTTAAGTTTGATCCTTATGAATATGAATTAAAGTAGGTTTTTTTAAGACATCTTAGAAAACGTTACAAAAATGCCCTGGTGTGGTGCTGCTATAGGATAAGCACTAGAATGCTAACCGAAAGGTTGGCGGTTCAAACCAAGCAGCCACTCCTTGGAAACTCTGTAAGTCAAAACCAACTTGACAGCACTTAACAATGAACAGCCTGCTTTAAAAACCTGATTGTACTATGAACATTTCCCCATCATTAAATTGCCAGCTGATAACCAGTTGCTGTCAAGTCAATTCTGAATCATGGCAACCCCATGTGTGCAAAGTAGAAAGCAATTAGAGGGTTTTCATGGCTGGGGTCTCTCAGAAGCAGATCACCAGGCCTTTATTCTGAGGTGCACCAAGATAGGTTCAAACCACCAACCTTCTGGTTAGTACTCAAGTACTTAACAGTTTGCGCCATTCAGGGACTGTTAAATACAACTTTTGGGGCCATATTATAATTCTGTTATTCAACAATTCCCCTATTAATTAAGCTTCATCTATTTTTTTCACTATTATAAACAATGCTGCAATGAATTTCTTCCCACACAGAAATCCTGCGACTTGTCTCTGATCATTTATTTTGGAAAAATTCCCAGAAATGGCACTGCTGGGTCACAGTATAGCAATTTGAAGACTTTGGAGGTACACTGTCTAAATTATCCTTTGTAAGCACACACTCCCATCAACAGTCTGCTTTATTACATCTTCATTAACACTGGGAGCCATTACTTCACCCTTTGGTTTCTACCACATCTATATCTTCAGGGAGCCCAGTGTTATTAGCACAAACCATACGTCAAAGCCACAGTGTAAGATCCATCTGCAATACTTAAAATGCACTTGATTGGAGTGCAGGCAACAGAAGAACTAGGGTTCTCATTTCTATGCTAAGGATTCTGGCGTAGAACTTGTAAGATTGCCTTCAAGTGAAGGGTCAACAAGCACGCCTGCCCTGAGGGAAGTTTTTCAGAAGAGTGGATCATTTTTCTGCCATCACCAACTGTGTAAGCAGAAACACACATTCAGAGACATGAAAGAAGGGCTGCTCATAATGGCAGAATTTTCTTCTGCTAACTCAGTGTTTCATGTTAGTCAACCATGCAGCCGATCAGCCTTCCAATAAAAGTGCATCCAACACCATGGGCACAATTCATGGACAAGTGAGACAGGTTATCAGATTATTAAAGAAAAACAAATGATATGATTTGTTCTGTAGTATAATCCTATCTATGAGGAATCCTGGTGTTATGCTTTAGGATAAAGCACTGGACTGCAAGGTTTCAACCACAAGTTTGGCAGTTTAAACCCACCAGTTGTTCCTCTAAAACCCTATATGGGGTCACTATGAGTCGTAACAGACTTGACAGCACTTAATACAATAATGAGTTGCTTTGTATCAGAGATCACAAACATGAAAACAAACAAAATATTTCTATTTTGCTCACTCATACATTTCCCATGAACTACGGGGAAAATAAGGGGACCTAGTAGTGTAGTGGATCTGGTGTTGGGCTGCTAACTGCAAGGTTAGCAGTTCAAACCCAGCAGCACTTTAAGAGAGAACAATGAGGCTCTCTGCTCCCGTGAAGATTTAGTCTCAGAAACCCTAGGGAGCAATTAGCTCTTATTTTATAGGGTGGCTATGAGCTGGAATCTGCTTGATGGCAGTGGACTTGTAAGTTTGCTTGTTTAGGGAGAAAAGAGGTCTCTGGTGGTGTAAAGAGTTGTGTTAGACCACTAGCTGGAAGTGTGGTAGTTAGAATCCACCCCAAGGCCAGGTGATCTGCTTCTGAAAGGCTGCAGCCTTGAAAACCCTAAGGAGTTGCAGTAAGTCGGAATGGGCATGGAGAACCAACAGCAGGAAGGCAGGGAGCACCAGGGAAGCTCTTACCAAGCATGGAGGGCGCTGCCTTTGAGTGGTCCAGCTTCCCAGGGCTGGCTTCACTGGCCGTGCGGTGTGTGCTAGCACAGGAAGGACTCATACCAACACAGTCGGGGTAGTAGGCCGAGAGCAGGGGAGCCGCCACGCTATCTTTCAGCAGAGGAGGTAGGATAAGCATGGAGTACCACCAATGGTTAGAAACTTCCGTCACTCTCTGAAAGAAGGCAGAGCACAAGAAGAGGGACACAGGCCAGCAAGAAATGAACCCACAGGTACAACTAAGGCAGATGGTGACCCTTAACCCTCCTAGTCTACTTTTCCCCACACAGACTTACACACTTATGTACCAGAGCTCACAAACACAGATTTAGAACTATCAATGATTTAAGATACCCAGAAAGAATGTTTACTAGGCACAACTTTCAGGTAATACAGCAACTGCCCACTCACTCCCAAGAAAAAAACTTCCACATCAGACAGGGCCTAAAAGCAGTCTCTGTTAACTACATTGTGAGTTTAGGATTAAGTCTGATATGCGAAGTATCTTTCCATCTGGCAGCCCTTTGTCATTCATCTCTTTCATTTAGGATTAAAAACAGTTGAAATTAAGAACCTTCCTTTCCTTAGAAGTACTCAACCGTTACTGTGTTTTAATAAAACCAAAAACGAAACCAAACCTGTTCCTGTCAAGTCGATTCTGACCCACAGTAACACTACAGGGCAGACTAAAATGGCCTCGTAGGCTTTCCTTGGTTGTAAATCTTTATAGAAGCAGACTGCCATATCGTTCTCCTACTGAGCAGGTGAATTTAAACTGCCCACCTTTCTGTTAGCAGCCAAGCACTTTATTACTGTGCCACCAGGGCTCTTCATTCAAAGGTGACAAACTTCCAGAGGAAAAAGTACACTACCAACCTTCAAAATAAGATGACAAATGTAAATTTGAAACAAAAGACACTATTTTTTGGTCTTAAAATTTGTGACAAAATTCCAGAGGTGGTTTATCATTAGGAGCCATTGTATCAAAGTATCCCCATAATGATGAATTACTACAAAGTCCACATCTGGAGCATCTCTCAGTTTACTGCAGGCCCCAACACCCAGCTCCTTCACACAGTCGTCTACTTGTTCATTTCCTGAAATTCTATGTTTCTGCAAACTGCTCTAGAGACTTGTTTTCAATTTGTGTAGGCAAGACGTTAGGAACCTGGTTAGCACAATGGTCATGCATTTGGTTGCTAACTGAAAAGTTGGCAGTTTGAACCTACCCATGGGAGGAAGACCTGACGACCTGCTCCCTTAAAGATTGTTGTTAAGTGCGGTCGAGTAGATTCCAACCCATAGCGACCCTGTATAGGGTTTCCAAGGAGCAGCTGGTAAGCCTGAACCACCGACAATGCAGTTCAAATGACTTTGCAGTCTGACGTATTAGCCCACAGCACCACACCAGGACTCCCCATAAAGGTTACAGCCTAGAAAACCCTATGGGGCCATCCTGTTGTCACATGGAGTTGACTAGACATTGAAATCTACTTGATACCACCTAACAACTGGCAAGACTAACAGGCAGGAGAGTCTCATTGGTTACCCTTAATACAAACAGAAAGGTTGCAGACATCTATCTAGAACGGGGGTGGGAAACCTTTCTTCTGCCAAGCTATTTGGATATTTACTCTCACTTTATATAAACTTGTTGCTTTGAATAAAAGCTTCTAAATTTTTTGAATTTTGAGTCCCACTTGCAGTTGTCTTGGCAGGGCCAGACCAAATGATTTCATTGGCTTAAATACCCCACAGGTTGAATGTTTTCCATACCTGATCTAGAACCAAAACTTAACAATACTGAATCACTGATACTCAAAATGACAAAATATTCAAAATTCATTTTCCAACTAGACACTGGGCATGTGAGTTTTCCAACTCAGGTAGTCAAGTTTCACGAAGACAAATTAAACGTCACTAGGTGGAACTTGGAAACCCTGTACAGGGTCGCTATGGGTCGGAACCAACTCGACGGCACTTCACAACAACAACAGGTGGGAGAAAGATGAGGCTTTCTGCTCCCGTAAAGATTTACAGCCTAGGAAACCCTGTACAGAATCGCTATGAACCGGAACTGACTTCATGGCACATAACCACCACCACCACCACCACCAGGCTTCCTTATATGGGCAGGGCAAAGACAATGAACATACTCAGGTCAGAATAGCCCTGCAGCTGAATCTTGTCTAAGACCACCCATTGATGGGCCTCCTATTCTCATCAAAGGATTCAAGTAAAGGATTTGTGTAGGCAAGACGTCAGGAACCAGATATTCATCCTCAAGAAACACATGTTAACACGGCTGCTGATCACTATAGTAAGATGAGGCAGCCGCTTCTTTTTAAAATTTTCCTTATAAGGTGAAATAATACAGGAGTCCTGGTGTGGCATTGTAGGTTAATGCACCAGACTGCAAAATCGTGTGAACTGCAAGGTCATCAGTTCGAAACTACTAGCTATTCCGCAGGAAAAAGATGAAGTCTTTCTGTGCCTGTAAAGATTTATAGCCTTGGAAACCCTGTACAGGGTCATTAGGAGTCAGAACTGACTCTATGGCACATAACCACCACCACCAATATAACTTTTATTTATTTTGTTACATCAGAGGGATTGAAAATTTCCCTTAATACAACTACTGCTAGCTTTGTTACATCTCTCATGTTTGATGGAAGTCTTTGATCAGTAACCGCACAGAAAAAGAAACTCAAATTGTCATTGCCATTTATCTACAGTTCTTATCTAAGGTACAATTGATTCCAGTCTAGAACTCGCAGAAATACTCACTAGATCCTCCGGGAGGGTACAATGGTCTGAGGTCTCGGTCTGAAAGAGAAAAGCAATTTGCTGGAAAAAAAAACACACCAAATCTTCAGTCCAGTCAGCGTCCATCAATGTTAGTGTGGCCTTCGGTGTCAATTTACCTTCAGTACGATGCCCTTTGCCATCGGTCAGTTTGGCAAAGATTTGCTGACCGTAAAACTGGTGATCTCTGCTTAACAAATGTCCACTCAATTCACAATAACAAGCTTTTAAAAAAGAATCCGTATGTGAAAAACAAACACACCTTGAAGACCTGCTCAGTACCCTTCACTCAATTCACAATAAAAAGTTCAATTTTTTTTGACTGCTTATAACTAAGCCACATTACATAAATAGGCTGAGTGAAAATGGCCCAAAGTTGGTATCTATTCAAATAGTCTGCAATTTTGGACTGCTCCTTAGCTGAGCTCTCCTTTCAACATTAGAATGTAAGGTCACTGAGTTTAGTTTTCACTTCATAAGTAATCTGGTTGCTAGTTGAATTCAGTTCAGCCAAGCTATTCTGTCTCCTTGCCATGCAAGCTAAGGGTGTCTTCACTGCTCTAACCTCAGTGACCAGTGGCCCAGAAGATCAATTACTACTCACTCACTCCCACACATCAGTTCTTTCCCATCTTTGTCTTGCCTCGCTCTCCATGAGGTCTTCTACTGCCAGGTGAGCTCAAGAAGCAGTCTAAGGTTTAGAACCAGATTGGTCAATTCTAGATCCCCTTATTCCAAGCTTAGAGCGCCTTGGTGGTGCAAACAATTAACACACTTAGCTGCTAACTGAAAAGCTGAAGGTTCAAGTCCACCTAGAGGTGCTTCAAAAAGGTGCCTCAAGAGGTGCCTGGGAATCTACTTCCATTAAGATCATAGTCACTGAAAACCCATTAGTTGGATTTAATTCAAAGGCAAATGGTTTTGGTACCCCAGGCTTTCCAGCCCTCACTCCCAAAGTATCAATCAACATAAAAAAAAAAAAAAGTAAACAATTAACACAGTAAATCTCACAGTCTTTAAAAAAAATATAGAAACAGTACAAAGAACTTAAAAATTAACAAATTTGACAATCTAGATGAAATAGACAAATTCTTTGAAAGTCATGTGACCTTCCAAAACTGACAGAATAAAACCCCTGAATGGCCACATATCTGTTTAAGAAATGCAATCTGTCATTTCAAAAAAAAGCTATTGGCCCAAATTCATTCACTGGTGAATTCTAACCAAAATTAAAGAAGAAAATATTATCAATCTTACACAAAATAGAGAATGAAGGTATACACTCAATTTCTTTTAGGGAGCTAACAAAGTCCTGAAAGCAAAGTCTGACAGGGATATTATAAGAAAATTCCCAATTTAGTATCCATCACTAACATAGATTTTCTTATGTTCAACAAAATGTTAGTAAATGGAGGGAAGAATTAATGGAATATAAGGTAACCACAACAATGGGGTTGGGGGTTGGGGTTTAGTTCAGGTGTTAGGGAGGGCAATACAAGAAGGGGGAGGAGGCAGAAGAACAAGATAGATAGGGGAACACTGAGACAGGTTTGCATGGCCTAAGTGGGACAGAGGTAAATAGTGACGCATGCTCAACCTTGGAACAACAGTACTCTGGGATACAGGGATCTAGGTATAGCTTGAAGAAGGGATATAATACTAAAATGCTTGACTGTCTTATGAGTATTCGTTTCCCTTGCCTACTATTGTAAAATAGACACTTGAGTGGGATAGAAAAGAAATGCTGAGAAACATGATTACAGAAAACTTGTAAGCCCGTCTTTAGCCTATAACTGATTGGAATACCTAAATGGGGTTCTAGAACTTGCCCAGTGAAATAGGCCTCATGCAAAGCCTTTACAAAGGAGCTCTGGTAGCGTAGTGGTTACGAATCAGGTTGCGAACTGCAAGGTCAGCAGTTTGAAACTACCAGCTGCTCCGTGGGAGAAAGATGAGGCTTTTTGCTCCTGTAAAGATTTACAGCCTCAGAAACCCTGTTCAGGGTCGCTATGGGTCGGAACCAACTCGACGGCACTTAACAACAACAAAAGCCTTTACAGAGTATAGGACCTTACGTGGAATCCTGAGTCCCAGCGAGAACATTATGAGGTGGGACATTCCCACTAGAAATGACTAGCAGACCAGCCTGGAACAGTTACAGTGACAGAAAATACATCTTTTTGAAGATGTATCTTCAAAGAAAGATCACCAGGAAAAACCCAAAACAAAAATGTCAGCATGACTGGCTACTACAAGAATAAGCAAGCTGTTCGTCAGGAAGACATCAAGGCTAACAATCAAGTTCCTTCAGGACAAACTCCCCTTTAAGACTGAAACTCAAAGGGAACACACAAACAAGCATGTAAGCTTGCTGGCGACCACTTTGATCTACTGGTGAGTGGAAGAGGGGGAAAAGCAGCAATGAAGAAATGGGCTGAGTTCAACCATACATATAGTCCATTGACTCCCATTGACCTGGGGATGAGAGAGAGAAGAGGAAGGGCTAGTGTGGTGAGACTTGAGGACACTTGAGCCCATGGACAAGGACATAACTACAGAGCGGTAGAGCTGAGAGTGAAGCATCCAGCTGCTATGAAGTGAGGGGAGATGCACAAGAACACACAAACTTGCAGACAGTACCCATTTGACCTAGCCTTGATGGCTCAATAATCAGAACTCGACTCGAGTTTTTTTCCCTAAAGAAAACAAGGGTAAATTGGTACAATTTGATGAAACTGACCTATACTCAGAGAGGTAGTTACTCTAAATACCAACAAAGAGGGATGGAGTCTTCACATCAAGTATCAATGCTATCCAATCTGTATTCAGGGTAGATAGGGACAGGCAACTTAGACACCAGCTACCTAAAATGAGGAGGTGATAAAGGCATGAAGTGACTGGCTTACAAGGTTTCAAGAGGGAGTTTAGTTTAAGAGTATGGGGGGAAGAAAGAGTCCCCACTGAATAGTTTTCATCTTGTCTAGATGGGTCTGGTGAAAAGAGATGGGGATAAGATTTGTATGATTCAGTAGTGAATAATTGTTATCATGACTAACTGCGACTGTCACAACTGTAAAGGTAGAAGTTTTGTAATAACAAAAACAGGGGAGCGGTTAATCTTACAGTCCAGAAACAGAGAACCCTAAGACCATCAAGGAGAAGTGCACAAGCAGAATGCAGGACCTTATCCAGAGAAGCAGTGATGCCAGACACAGAGGCAGAGATGGGGGCATGGAGAGGGAGAGCGGCTAAGGACTCTAGATTCATGGGAAGAGAGGGAGTAAGAGCCAGTGGCCAGGACTTGCAGAATGTGCCCTTTGGAGATGTAAATGATCATATATGCCTGTTTGTTTGTTTGTTTGTTTGTTTTTAAAAAAAAACGCTCAAGTGGATTGAGAGAAATACTGTTAACTGATGGTACATGGAGGGGATTATAATCATTGTAATGAAACAAGGTGTATGATTTGTTTAATGTAAAACTGATGATCTGCCCTTTAAAGTTTCACTCAATCCACAATAAAAACCTTAAGAAAAAAAAATTTAACATGCATTCAGAAGAATAAATTCTCAGCAAACTAAAAAGTAAGTAAATTCCTCATTCCTGTACAAAGGGCAGCTGTTAAAAACCACGGCCAGTTATCTTCTATAATGGTAAAGTATTGAGCCCATTGGTCCAGAGGTCAGGAAAAAGGCAAGACTGTCTGCTCCCATCATTTTTGGCCAACACAATAGTAGTGTGATGCTAGTCAATGGGCAAAAGCAAGACAAATAGCAAAAAGAAAGACTAAGAAAAAAAAAGCCAAACAATTTGTATTCACAGAAAATATGACTGGTTTGCAGAAAAACTAAAGGAGTCTTTTAAAAAAACCAAAATGATTTATGAAATGTGTAAGTGAATCACCAAAGTCTTGAGGTATAAGGTCAAGATACAAAAATCAACTGCATTTCTATATAATAGCAATAAATAACCTGAAAATACAGTTAAAAAATAAACACTTACTAGTCACATGAAGAAAAAAGTATCTAGAAATAAAGTTAATAAAAGATACCAAAAATCACCCCATTAAAACCTAGAAAACACTGTTGGGAAAAATTATAGACCCTACACAAAGAAACGGAGACAGCAGGCTCATGGGTCAGAATTACTTTTGTTAAAGACCTTGAAGTCTGTGCTGACTCATAGCAACCCTGTAAAGGGTTCTGAGAAATGACTGGTGGGTTTGACCTACAACCTTGTGGTTAGCAATGCTTACTCTACAGCGCCACACCAGGACTCCAGTATGTAACTGTTGTTGTTATGTGCTGTGAAGTTGGTTGCGACTCATAGTGACCCTGCACAGGGTTCCCGAGGCTATCTATAAAACTTTACGGGAGCAGAAAGCCTCATCTTTCTCCCATGGAACAGCTGGTAGTTTCAAACTGCTAACCCTGAGGTTAGCAGCCTGATTCGTAACCATCAAGCTACCAGAGTTCCTTAGTACGTAATTAGACCTCAGTTAAAAAAAAGAAAAATAGTAAGATGCCATTTTATAGCACCATGCCCTACAGGTGAGATGTTTCCATAATTACCACCCTAAAATACAGGTTTTTAACTTTTAAAAAGTGGTTTGAATGTTTGTATCAAAAGCTATGAAAACCATGCTTATATACTGTTGAGTATATACATAATTTATGCATATTTTATACATTTGATAACTGTATCTATGAAAAGGAGAGGATATGGTTAAGAAAAACTTTCATTTATTTACTCATATATTGTGTGTGTTTATTCAATTGACTTTAAAAAATAAATTTTTATTGTGATTGAGTAAAAGTTTACAGGGCAGATCATCAGTTTCACATTCAACAAACTATAAACCTTGCTTCATTACAATGATTATAATCCCATACATGTACCATTAGTTAACGGTATTTCTATATTTTCTTTAGCCTTTTTTTTTTCAACTCTCAGGCATATATAATAATGTACACCACTGAAAGGCACATTCTGCAAGTCTGCCTTCTGGCTACCAGCTCAGTCCCTCTCTTTCCTTGAATCTAGAGTTCTCAGCAGCTCCCTCTCTCCATGTCCCTATCTCTACCTCCATCTCTCATGTCACTGCTTCTCTGGATAAGGTCCCACATTCTGCTTGTGTTCTTCTCCTTTGATGATCCTTTGTTTCTGGACTGTAAGATTAAATACTCCCCCGTTTGTGTTACAAAACTTCTACTTTTACAACTGTGACAGTCACAATTAGTCATAATTACAATTACTCACTATTGAATCATAAGAATCTTATTTCCATCTCTTTTTACCAGACCCATCTAGATAAGATGAAAACTATTCAATGGGGACTCCATCTTCCCTGATACACTTTTTTTTTTAATGTTTTATTGTAAATTATGTGATAGTTTACTCAATTGACTATTTAAAAACCCTCAAAGTCAATTCATTTAATATACTTAAGTAGGTACCGAGATGATGCAAACAGTCTGCACTTGTCTACTAAAGGTTGGCAGTGTGAATTCAGCCAGCAGTACCACAGAAAAAAGTCCTGGCGATCTGCTTCCATAGCAAACACAGAAAATCCTATGGAAAATCCCACTCTGTAATACACAGGGTCACCAAGAGTCAGGATCAACTCAACAGCAATAGGTTTGGGATTTTTTTTTTTTTTTTGCTTAACACTTATGTAAAATTAAAAGCCATACAAATCTAACTCGCAAATGTTTACATCCTTTTCTCTCATCATTTTGCTTTGAAATGCTTTCCAACTGTTCTTTGAGAAACAACTATGAGTTGCTTTCATTACAATTCTTTTTGAATACAGGATGTGAAAACTTCATCATAAAATGTGTAAAACTTACGTATGCTCTCAAAGGGAAATATCTGAACTAAGAAAGTATACTGATGATTGTATGTCTTTATAAATATAATAAAAACCACTGAACTGTATACTTTAAATGGCTATATTTTATGGTCATGTGAATTATATCTTAATATTTAAAAAAGGAAGTGTCTTGCTTCTGGTATTTTAATATTCTAATATTGTAACATTTCTTAAAATATTGAAGGTACTAGTGATATTTATGTCGGTCAGTATCTTTAACACATGAAAGCAATTACGTTTTTAAACACCAAGTACTGCAAAATAAAAACACTATTAGAGCAGTTATGGCAAATTGCTAACTGCCCAAACATATTCATTCATTCTCTCTTCTTGCTAACAGGGTCATGGTTTTGTCTGACATTACTTTGTTATAACATCTTTCTTTGTTCCCATTATAATTCAGGGTGGCTACATGATCATGTTTTGGTCAATGAGATATTAATAGAAACCTGAGGTTGGAACTGCCATGAAATTTCTTATTTCCCTAATAAAAAAAGAAAGAAACTCAGCTAGAACACTCCTCTTCTTTGTGCATAGAATTAAGATGCAACATCTGGGGAACATGCTGGCTCTGTAGGCCAAGCCCTGGACCTCAAACCACAAAGTCAGTGGTTTGAACCCACCAGCTGCTCCACAGGAGAAAAATGAGTGAGGCTTTCTCCTGCAACAAAGATTTACAGCCTCAGAAACCCTACACAGGGTTGCTCTAAGTTGGAACCGATTAGAAGGTACTTCCAACAATCTGACAGTGTAGCAAGCAATCATCTTTGTATGCTAAGGGTAGAATTCACACTCTAGGTATCTGTACTGGAAGCTGAAGACCTGGTCCTTCATGACTCTCTTGGACAATATAACACCAACCTGGGACTACATGTACTTACTTCCAAATTGCTTGTCATGTGAACAAAATAAATCCTTACTTAGTTAAGCTACTGTCATTGGCGTGCCATTAGTGTGGATCAATATCACTTTGAGACAACGAATGAAGATGTTTGGACAGTTAGGAATTTGCCATAACTGTTTTTGCTATAGTTTTTTCAGTATTATTTTGACAATTTCTTAGTGTTTAAATATGTAATTAGTTTGGGGTGTTGAAGATACTGACCTACATAAATGTCACTAGTACCTTTAGCACTTAAAGAAATACTACAGCATTAGACTATACACCACTCCTATTTACTGATAACATTGATGTACCAATTACTTCAATAAGAAAACCAACAGAGAGCATACCTTCACAGTAGTATTTGGCTTCATACCACATCGGTAAGTCTTTGCTATATGTGGAGTGAGCTGGATTTCCTTCGTAAGCTGCCTCCATTTTCTACACTCAGGTTTTGTGCACTGAACCTGGAATGGAAGAAATGAGTTAAGGTGAGTAAACTGGCCAATCTTGAGGCACCATTTCTATCTTCCACCACTCTCTTTATCATCTTCTTCACAGGATTTCTCCCAACCTTTGAGCAATCCAAACTACTTTAGTTCCCCATTGTACCACCAGCATCCATGATACTCCACTTTCAGCCCACTGGGGTCATTTCTGATTCAAGAGTACATCAGGCACCAGGAAAGTGCAAAGGGATATCTGAATACTGTTGTCACAAAGGTTTCCTGATACTAACCTAAGGGAAGTTTCAGAGACACAGTGAGTTACAGCTAGTCAGAAAGTATACGCACTAAATGCAATGTAGGATCTTGGGTTAGATTCTGGGAAAGGAAACGGACATGAGTGAAGAACCATCAGTGAAGAGACTGGTGACATCCCAATACAGCCTTAAGTATTAGTAATGCATCAATGTTAATTTCTTAGCCTGACAAATAGACTTGGTTGTAGAAGATGACATATTAGGCAGAACATAAGACATCCATACACTCTATACTATCTTTGTGAATTTTTAATTATTCCAAAATTAAGATTTTTTTTTTTAGGTATGCCATTGGCCACATGCAGAAAAGTAGGACCCCTATATCACACTACATATAAGAATTTACTCAATAGATGAAAAATGAAAGAGCTAAAACTACACACAAGTCTTAGAGACCTGGAATTTGGCAATGAACTGTGATACAAGACACAAAATGAACAAACAAAAAGTATAGATGAACTGACCTTTCATCAAAATTCAAAACTTTTGTGCAAAGGACACTGTCTAGAAAATGAAAAGATAACCTAGAGAATAGGAGAAAATACTTACAGATCATCTATCTAGAATCCAGAATATACAAAGAACTCTCACAATTTAACAAAAGGACAAACAGCCCAATTAAAAATTTGGGAAAAGGCTTGAACAGGTGGTTTTTTTCCCCTAAAGACATACAGATAGTCAGCAATACTCGATGTCATTATTTAAGAAAATGCAAATCAAAATCACAAGACACCACATCACAACCACATTAATGCCATTACACAAGGTTAAGTGCCTTCAAGTCGGTTCTGACTCATAGCAACCCTATATAGAGTTTTCATGGAGTTTTCTAGTGGATTTGAACTACCGACCCTGAGGTTCAAATCAACCTTGCAGTCTAGTGCATTATCCCATGGCGCCACACCAAGACTCCTAAACAGGACATTTCCTAGAAATCCCCACCTATCCTTATGAACAAACATGATTACCTTTTCCCCACCCAAAACTATTTTTTTTTTTTTTTAAGTTTTTGTTGTGAACTAAGTGATAGTTTACATGGGAGAATATTGGTTTCACATTCATCATTTCACTGCAATGATTACATTCAACAGTATTTGCTTCTATTCCCTCTATTTTTTGGGGGGAGGGGGGGAGATGTACACCAAAACACACAAGAATAAATAATCATTAAAACAACCAAAGGGCACATTCTGCAAGCCTGCCTCCTGGCCCCAGCACACAGCCTTTGCTAGGGAAGACATCAGTCAGGTATTGCATTAAGCCCTCCCCATCTGTTTGCAAACCTCTTTTCTATAATGCACCTTTACGCGCATGGAGACCTGCCTCAGCGACTGTTATTAAATTAGTGGAAGGCAAGCACTCTCTCTGGAAGGATTGGGATGCATTTAGCACTCTCAGTAGCACTAGGTATCTACCAGAAGAACTGAAAATAGGTAGACTTGTATATGAATATTCATACCAGGGCTATTCATAGTAATAAGGTCAAAACCATCCCAAGTGTCCACTAATGAATGAAATGTTAAAAAAAAAAAAAATTTAAATCTCACCCCCCAAACAAAACAAAAACCAGAGGGAATGGAAGCAAATACTGTTGAATGACGATGCACAGAGGAGATTGTAATCACTGCAGTGGAACAATGGTATAAAACTAGTGTTCTCCCATGTAAACTATCACTCAATTCAAAATAAAACCTTTAAAAAAAAAAAAAAACTCTGGGAAAAAATACAACAAATTTAAGAGCTTGTGAGTCTTAGGAATAAGTAGTACTTCCAACATGAAAAAACAAACTAAATTATCAAAATATTATATCCAAAGTATAATTTTAAATCTAATTAGGACTTGTATTTAAAGCATGAAATTGTGTTTAAAAATACACAAGAAAAATATGAACAGAAAAAAGATTATAAAGACATACACCAAACTTAACCCTGGTGGCAAGTCTTCAGTGTCTTCTTTATACTAACTAAGTTTTCTGTAAAAAACCAAATGTGATACGGCTAAACACAATCATGGAATGAACATTAATCAGAATAAAAGTAGGATTTCTTAAAACTCAGCATTTCCATCCATTCCACTTGCTCTGAATGCCGCAAGCACTTTACCAGAACTGAAAAGCATCCCCTTTCTTACCCAGTAGGGGAGTTGCTGGTCGGCCATGAAGGCTTTGGGACTAGGTTCAGTTTTGCCATTGCTAGTCCATATTTTTTTCCATGTAGTGTATTTTTCATATCCATCCTTATGGCTGAAAAAATAAATAAATGAAAATGAATTAAGTTATAAGTTCACCAAGTTTTCAAACCAGAAAGCTGGCTAGTGCTAGTACATCATCTATAAAAGGACATGACTAGCCATATTATAAACCAGTAAAAACTCTGACTCATGGTGTCCCCATGTGTGTCAGAACAGAAATGTACTCCACTGGATTTCCCATGGAGTGATCATTCAGCAGCAGATCACCAGGCCTTTCTTGTGAGGTACCTCTGGATGGATTGTAACCATCAACCCTTCAGCTAGCAGCTTAGCTCATTAACTGTCTGTACCACCCAGGGACTCCAGCCATATTATAAAGAAGATGAAAATGTTATTCCAGCACCCATAAAACAGACTGTCAAGAAAGGTACATTCTAGCATTTTTAGTACCCAAAATTAGTAAGAAGGGCTACCTCTGACTATCTGCCTTGTATAAATTCAAGTCATCAACAGCCTTCCCTCCAAATCTTTGCCTCCAGCCTCTTTTATATTATCACACAATAGTCAAGTATCTCCCAGAATTTTCAGAACTTGCAGATTGAGTTATCTGTCTCATGGTAGACATTTGTTGAGCCCTGAGTATGCACATGCATAAGGAAACCCACAGCATCACAGCTTACTCAAAGTTACAGTCATCATAGGAATTCTATAAACCCAGGGATTCAATCTAGACTATCTTAATTCCCCTTCCTCCCTCCCCTGCTGCTGCCACAGTCCCACCACTACTGAAACACCAGCAAACATACCTTCTGTAATAATGGTCAAAGCATTCATTACAGAAATGCTCCCCACAGGAGAGATGATACCATCGGGAGGTGTAGCCATTTTTGGCACATCTGAAAAGAAGAGACTGCAGCTTTGGTATTGAGCAAGTACTTCTCACTTTAAAAAATAAACAACATTTCTCAAACACTTTCGGTTAGGCTTATCTCATATCATCTCTATTTAGAAACCTTACAACCATGACCTAACAACCAGAGAGACAGTAACCACTGACACTATTGATCATAGCACAGGGGACTCAGAGGAGTGGTCTCTGAACTGCTGCACATCAGAGGTCCTGAAGTGTATGAAGACACGCAGGAGGAACCACAAGGTTTCATAATCTGAAACTACAGATACCACTGGCTGTCACTACCAAACAGCACAAGCATGGATTCAAGTGTGAAGTGTGCTCTCGACAATGGCAGGCTTTAGCCTAATACTGAAAATTCAATGAATCTGACCACTCAGTAGACAGTATGGAGTATACAGCCTGACACATGCTCAATAATAAATTAATAAAAAAAATAATAATGCTACTATAAACATGGCTACCACCACCACTTTGTGTTTTCTAAATTGCACTGAATCGTAATCCTTAATGGAAGATTTTTCTCTGGGAGTAAATAGATCATACTTGTGACATCCCAAGAAAAAGAGCAAGAAGGCAGTCATCTACATACATAACTTAAACGGCATCTGTAGAAATATACGCATGATCGGAAGAAGGGGCACGTTAGATGAGAAAGGAAAAAAAGCATGGAGAAAAGTAAACACAGATTAGTTTCTTCAGGGAGTCCCCGGCTTCTATCTCTTGCGCTACCATCCCATACCTGGCTCCATCTCAACCCCCAGGCATGGTACAGCTACAGAAAGTCACACAGAAGGTGCTATGTGGCCACTGAGCAGAGCTGGTTTGGCTGTGACCTCTCCCACTAAGCTAGGTGCAACACAGAGGGCATGAGGGGATATGGTGTACAGAAAATGTTCAGCTGATATCTGTCTTATCAGGTGACTCACAGTATCTACATCCATCTATCTTAGGAAAACTATCTCTGAGGATGGTTGTCTCCAAGAAGAATGCTCTCACAGGCAGACACACCACCTAAACAGACCTTTCAGAAGCACTTGCAAAGCACACAGGACACGTGGCGGTACAGCCAGCCTTTTCACATTTCCTGTACTTCTTCTCTGAGCCACCATCTTCATCCTCATCTGGTGTCTCTATGGCTTTTTTCTTTGCCTGGGGAAGAATGAGTCGAGGTTAAGGTTCTTCTAGAATGGGCAGCCTGAAACTGGCTGAAGGGGCACTGCTGAAATCCCCTGGATGTAAGGGGCACTGCTGAAATCCCCTGGATGTAAGGAGTTCTACGTGTCAGTGTCAACAACATCCTAGAGGTGGGTTAGAAGCTCACACACAGCAATTGCCTTAAAGCTCCCGGTGCCAACACTTCCCTAATTTGCTAAAAAACATAAAATAAAATAACAGTACTAGGTATCTTAGTTGTTAAGTGCCATCGAGTCAGTTCCAACTCATAGTAACCATGTACAGGGTTTTCCAAGGAGTGGCTGGTGGTTCTGAACCTACAACGCTGCAGTTAGTCTAGTGTCTATTCTACAGCACCACACCAGAACTCTAGGTATCTCAGCAGAAAACTAAAATGCATGTGAGTCCTTATAATAAAAATGTTACAAGCATCAAACTAAAAGTCACACTCAGATTAAGATTTATTTTATTTACCAAGAGCATGTGTATTCTCTTAATACTAAAAGAAAAAAAAAAAATCCTACAGAATTGGAATATAGCATCTCAAACTTTTCTTTAAAAAAAGTATTACAAATAAGATGGCAGCAGGTAACCTTCAACAGCATGTAACCACAACTGTAAGTTAAAGTATAACTATTACTTAAACTATAAACTAACCTTCTGACCCTGACCTCATATCCCAGAAGCAACCATTGGGCTACAACTCTCTAAACACCCCACGCGGAGTCGCATTCCATGCCTTTAAGACTTGCAGCTCCTTCTGCCACATATGCTGGGAATTTTTCTATCTTCTATCACTTTATCATGGAGTCCTGGTGTGGCACTGAGGGTTAATGTGCTGGAGTGCAAAGTCAGTTTGAACTGCAAGGTCGGCGGTTCAAGCTCACCAGCCGCTCCTCGGAAACCCTGTACAGGGTCGCTATGGGTCAGAACCAACTCAATGGCACTCAACAACAACAACACTTTATCACATAGTATTGTGACTGTCTGGGGTGAATTTCTTCACTTGACCCCAAGTTCCTTGCAACCTAGAGTTTTCTTTTCTAATTCTTCAGCTGCAACCCTAATAATTTTGTAAGCTTTAACATGGTGCACTGAATGAACATATAAATACTACCTGCCTACCGGAGCTCCTCAAAGGAAGGCTGTCAGAAGACTGGTCAAAAGATGCCTTTTTCTTTGTTCTTCCTCTCGAGGTTGCCATTGTATCAACTAATCTGCAAAAAAAAAAGGAAAACTATTAAAGATTGTTGGTAAGTGCAGTCCAGTTGGTTATGACTCATAGTTACCCTGAATAGAGTTTCCTAGGAGTGACTGGTGGATTTGAACTGCCGACCTTGAGATTGACAATTTAGTGCTTATCCAACAGCACCATACCAAGACTCTTATTAAAGAGTTGCTGTTAAGTTCCATCAAGTTGGTTCTGACCCATAGCTACTCTGTATAGGATTTCTGAGGAGTGAATAGTGAGCTTGAACTGCCAACCTCTGGTTCCAATGACTTTGCGTTAACCCACAGAGCCATACCAGTACTTCTGTTAGAGTTGTTATTATTAAATGCCATAGAGTTGGTTCCAACTCATTGCAACCCTGTATAGGGTTACCAAAGAGCAGATGGTGAGCTTGAACCACCAATCTTGCAGTTCAAACTGACTTTGCGGTCCAGTGCATTAACCCACAGCACCACACCAGGACTCCCCATTAAAGAGTAGCACTGACTAATACTTTCAATGGCATCTGTGGATGGTGCAGTTCAAGGGCTCCACTGCCACATAAAAGGTTGGAAGTTTGAATATACCTAGGAGTGCCTTGGAGTCCTGGTGTGGTGCTGTGGGCTAATGTGCCAGACTGCAAAACAGTTGGAGCTGCAAAGTCGGTGGTTCAAGCTCACCAGCTGCTCCTTGGAAACCCTATACAGGGTCTCTATGAGTCAGAACTGACTTGACAGCGCTTAACACACACACACACACACACACACACACACACAATTGTGTGCTAAATATAAACATAACTTTTACATGCACTGGGAGTCAAAATAGTCGTGTGACTCACTTTGTGGCAGTATTTGCCTTATTGTGCTGGTCTAGAATCAAATCCACAATAATGCCAAGGCATGTCTATATGGAGTCCTAGTGTGCCACTGTAGGATAAGCACGGAACACTAACCAGAAGGTCAGTGGTTCAAATCTACCAACCACTATTTGGAAACCCTGTACAGGGTTGTTATGAACCGGATTCAACTAGATGGCACTTAACAACAACAAATACCTGTATACAGTTTAGTACTTAAGGATGTACGCTTTGCAGTTAGACTGCCCGAGTATGCAACCATTATTTTCAAGCAACTTTCAAGCCCTCTAAGCCTCAGTGTTCTCATATTTAACAGAAGCATAGACGAGTGTACCATAACACTGTTGTTGTTGTGAAGTGCTCTTGAGTCGGTTCTGACCCATAACAACCTAGTATAGGGTTTCCAAGGAGCAGCTGGTAAGCTTGAACTGCCGACCTTGCACTTCAAATGGCTTTGCAGTTTGGCGCATTAACCCACAGCACCACACCAGGACTCCTACCATAACACTGGGTGTGGGTTAAAGGAAAGAATGTATTTAAAGCATTTACTACCAGGTCTGGCATATTAGAAGTACTCACCAGTGTTAGCCATTGGTAGTGGTGGTGTGCTGTTGAGTTAGTTCTAAATCATATAGGGTTTTCAGGTTGTCAGTCTTTACCTGAGTAGAAGATGTCATCTCTCTCCCACAGAACAGCTGATGAACTCAAACTGCTGAGCTTGCGGTTAACAGTCTAATGTATAACCCACTATACCACCAGGGCTCCTTCTTCATTAACAAGATGCACATTTAAAATTTAAACATGAGAAATACTAACACTCATTCTTGATGAAAACCCTAAATAAGACGGGAGTAGAAGGAAAATGTCTCACTAAGATTCAGGACAAATATAAAAAGCTAACAGCCAACATTACACTTAAAGGAAGACTGAGAGTGTCCCCCTTGAAGTCAGAGAAGGGGGCCCACTCTCACCAGTTGTATTCAATATTGTGTTAGAATTCCTAGTCAGAGTGATGGCAGAAGCCCCTGGTAGTACTGCAGGCTAAGTACTAGACTACTAACCATAAGGCCGGCAGTTCAAACCCATTAGCCGCTCCAAGGGAGAAAGATGAGCCTTTTTGCTCCTGTAAAGATTGACAGCCTCAAACTCTATACAGGGTTGCTACTGAGTCAGAACTGACTCAATAGCACCTAACAAAACAACAAAGTCAGCACAGTAAGACAAAAGGAAACAAAAATGGATCCAGATTGGAAAATATGTAAAATGACCTCTATTTGTAGATGATATAATTCTAACTATAGAAAATCCTAGCATCTGCAAGTATGGCCATTAGTCACCCTTCAGGTCTGGAAGTGAACCACCTCCATGGCTCAACTTTGTGTCAAACAAGAGACAAATCTATAAAGGGAACAACCCTAATGAGGTATGTATACATTTGAATAATCAACCATTTGAGATCAAAAGGGCAGCATTTACCCAAGGAAAGGTCCAGAAGGGTTAGGAAAGGGCAAGGAATGGAAACCGGAAACACCAGAAAGTGGAATAAGTGCTATTACAGTGAGGGGATGGCACTCAATGATGAAACAAAATGTGTATTAAGTCTTGAATGTAAAGCCGGTCTGCTCTCAGCTTTCCCCCAATTCACAATAAAAACTCAACAAAAAATTCCAAGAGCTAATAGAAGTATCTATAAAGCTGCAGAGTACCAAGTCAACAGACAAAAATCATCTGCGTATCTGTACACCAGCAATGAGACATCTGAAAGGAAAATTAAGGAAACAATTCCATTTACGATAGCCATCTAAGAAAATAAAATATCCAGAAATAAATTTAACCAGGAGCACGAAGGATGTATACAATGAAAACTACACAACACTGCTGAGAGAGCTCAAAGATGACTTAAACAGAAAGATACTCCATGTTCATGGATTGGAAAACTTACTATTGTTAAGATGTCGATATTATCCAAAGCGATCTACAGAGTTTCAACACAACCCAGATTCTAACAGTTTTCCTTACAAAAATAAAAAAAGCAATTCCCAACTTCATATGGAGGCCCCAAATAACTACAACTGTAAGCAGGAGGACTCATACTTTCTGATTAGAAAACATACTATACAGCTACGGCAATCACAACAGACTTCTTGTTGTTGTTAAATACCATCGAGTCAGTGCTGACTCATAGCGGTCCTGTACAGGGTTTCCAAGGAACAGCTGGTGAGCTTGAACCGCTGACCTTGCAGTCCAGCGTATTATCCTGCAGCACCACACCAGAACTCCACACAGCCTGATACTCTTAATAGACACGTGGAATAGAACTGAGAGTACAGAAATGAATATATATATATATACACACACATATATATGCTAAACACATGTTTGGCAAGGGTGCAAAACCCATTTGAAGGGGAAAGGAAGGTTTCTTCAATAAGCAGTACTGACTAAACTGGATTTCTACATGCAGTAAAATGAAACCGGATCCACGCCTCACAGCATAAACAAAAACAATTCAAAAATGTTCATCGTAAATATGCGAATTAGAACTATAAAAACTTTAGATCAAGCAGGAACAAACAAAAATATAAGACAAAATAAATAGGACTTCATGAAAATTAGACTTTTGTGCATCAAAGACTTTAGCAAAAAAGTGAAAAGATAAGCTACTACTAGGAGAATAACTTTGGAACCATACATCTGACAAAAATCTAATAACCAAGATATATGCAAAACTTTGACAACTTAACAACAAAAAGACAAATAGCTAAATGATGAAATGGGCAAACGACTTGGGACATTTCACTAAAGAGGACAATCAAATGGCCACCAGGTGACCCATGTCATTAGTCATCAGAGATGCAAATCAAAACCACATTGAGAAACCATTTCATTATCACTAGTACCACTAATAAGGAGCTCTGGTAGCGTAGTGGTTACGAATCGGGCTGCGAACCTTAAGGTCAGCGGTTCGAAACTACCAGCTGCTCCGCGGGAGAAAGATGAGGCTTTCTACTCCCATAAAGATTTACACCCTCGGAAACCCTGTACAGGGTCACTATGGGTCGGACCCGACTCGATGGCACTTAACAACAACAACAACAGTACCACTAATGGAGTCCTGGTGTGGCACTGTAGCATAAAGCACGGGACCTCAAGGTTGGTTTGAACCAAAACGTTGTTGGTTCAAACTCACCTTGGAAACCCTATGCAGGGTTGCTGTGAGTCGGAACTGACTGGACAGTACTTACCAACAACCTAGCAAGGAGTAATAACATTAACAAAAACAAAACAAAGCTGAAAACAACCAATGTTGGTGAGGATGTGGGTGAACTGAACTCGTATCCATTGTTGGTGGGATTGTAAATGACGCAGCTATCGTGGAAAACAGGTGTGGTGATTCCTCAGAACACTAAAAACGAAACTACCATTTGCCCCAGCAATTCCACTTCAAGATATATACCCTAAGGACTTGAAAACAGACTCCAAAAAGAGACCTATACACCAATGTTCACTGCAGCACTATTCGTAATAGGGAAAAGATGGAAGCAACCTAAATGTCCATTGCAGATAGATGGATGAATTACAGTGCATACACACAATGGAAGACTATTCAGTCAGTAGTAAAAATGAGGTCTAGCTATAGGCTACACTATGGATGGAACTTGAAGACATTATGCTAAATGAAAATAAGTCAATCACAAAAGGAAAGTTATGCAGCGCTATGGGTAAATGCGCTGGACTGCAAGGTCAGTTTGAATCGCAAGGTTGGTGGTTCAAGCTCACCAGCTACTCCTCTGAAACCCTATACAGGGTCATTATGGATAGGAAGCAGCTGGACAGTACTTAACAACAACAACAAATACTTCTGGCTACAGCACTTGTTGTGTTGTAAAGTGTCATCCAGTCAGTCTGAAACCCTATGTCGGGTTTCTGAGGCTATAAAAGCCTCATCTTTCTCCAGCAAATCGGCTGGTGGATTTGAACCTCTGACCTTGCAGCTAGCATTCCAGTGCTTACCCTGGAGTGTCACCAGCACTCCTTGGTTAAAACACTAACATTAAAAGCACTGTTATCTACCTTTAATTAATACACCAAAAGAAAACTTTCTGAATCCCATTTTTAGTTTCAAAATATTGTTCAACTTAACAACTCTCTTTATACAAAATTTGTGGCACACATTATTCATAAAATGAACCACAATCGTAAAGCATATTCATCCATCACAGCAAAAATGTGACGTTCAACATAAGGGGCTAGGAAATAAGAGAATTCAGCCTAGATGCATTCAAGTTTTGAACCTTGTCACCCAGGCATTCTGGACAGAGCCAAGTTTTTGGAAATTTCAAACATTTTTACCCTACTGTATACTGGAAAATATGTATTTGATGTAATAAAGTAACATAATTCAAGATCCGGTTAAATAAATGGAACCATGACCAATAAAATTCATTATTAAATACTTGCTGTCTAGGATAAATTTGATTGAAGTTTTTTAGGATAGAGTTTCAACTTCAATTATACAATTAAGGTTATACATCCCCATCTTTTTTGGCATTTAATGTGATTTCTGTATTTTCACTGTTGCTGAGTCCTTAAATTTTAAAATGAAGAAAAAAAAATTAAGCAAACTTGGATGGACTGCTATTGTATTTTTAAATATAATTTTGGAAATATTAGCCAAAGTATCATTGAAACGGGAGTCCTGGTGTGGCGCTGTGGGATAAGCACTGGTCCATAAGGTCAGTTTGAACCTCAAATTTGGCGGTTCAAACTCCCCAACCGCTCCTTGGAAACCCTATACAGGGTAACTATCAGTTGGCATCAATTTGATGGCACTCAACAAAAACAACATGAGTCAAAAAAAAAAAAAAAAAAAAACCACAGGATTCAGCACTTAACAACATCATTAAACCAATTACTGTCCTGCGTCCTGCGTGATTTTTCTTATCTGATTCTTCAATAAACATACCTCACTTTACATAAATGAGCCTTGGTGGCATAGTGGGTTACTCCTTGGGCTACTAGCTACAAGGTAAGAAGTTCGATTCCACTAGACACTCCTCAGGAGAACGATGCTGCTTTCGGCACCTATGAAAATTTACAGCCTTGGAAACCCTAAACAGGGTTTATATATGATTCAGAACTGACTCAACAGCACACAATCACTATCACCACCAACTTTGAATATAATAAATTCACGTCATGCTCAATATAGTTTTATAAGCAGGTCTTTCCAATTTAAAATTCATGAACTGGCTTTCTTTTAATGTGACGAAGGGAAAGCGGTTTTTTAGGCAAGTATATAGTGGATACCCTATAACTGGTATTCCAACCAGTTATAGGCTGAAGACAGACTTACAAGCTTTCTGTGGCTATTCCTTTCTCTCCCCCTTAAGTGTCTATTTTACAATGGTAGGCAAGGAAAACCAACATTCAAGAGATAGCCAAGCATCTTAATATTTCCCCTTTTACCCATTCAAACCATGCCTGTATCCCTGTATCTCAGAGCCATGTTGTTCCAAGGTTGTACATACATCATTATTTACCTCTGTCCCACTTAGTCCTTGCAAACCTGCCTAACTGTTCTCCCATCTGCCTTGTTCTTCCATTTCCCTCCCCCTT